ATTTGTTGAGTCACAGCGTTGAACCTGACTATTGGCCACGAAAAGGCTTGCCAATGCACAGGCGCCAGGTGTCAGGCAGCTTTCAGGTTCAATTGGCTAAACTTGGTGAGTTCGTTCCATTTTGTAAATTTTTATCTTTTCAAACCAGTAACGTTGGGAGATCACCATTTTGTGGTGCGTGACTGGTATAAGATCTACCACCGAACCCTAGTCGTGACAACTTCAAGCTAGGGAGACAGGATTTTCCAGTAATCAAAGGATCAGATTTTAGTCCTTCCCAAGTAACCAAAAGTTCTGATAAAAGGCTATTTGTGGCTTAAGCAGCTTGGTTGGTGGTGGTCTATAGAATTCTAAGCAGCCTCATTTTTAAGTCGTTATAAGAACTTGAAAGTTCCGGTATCATAATTGAAGAGCATTCTAAGCAGCTTCTGGTGGAACTTGAATGGAACTTTTAGAAAATAAATTAAAAAATGTCTTTGTCCTCTACATAAATTCTATATTTAGTTCGCACTTTTATGAAAGTTATTTCTAAACGTAGGTATTAATGTGTATTGATTTATCAACATTAGTAGTAGAATTGGAGCTATTTGGAGAATTAAACCCAGTCCTTCTGCGTGAGAACCCCAGCACGAACCGCTGCGCCATCTGAGATATAATAAAGTGAGCTGTTGTCACGCCTACTGTTGGAGTTTTCAGTGCCAGCTGACTGACATGAATACGAAACACAACACCTTGATGAATTTTAATTTGGTGTTTGCCCGCCTGGTATTCCAATACACTGATCATTTCATATTTACATACATTAAATTTTGTGGGTAATGCGGATTGCTTCATGTGGCTTGAAAGTTCTGTCGGAACTTTATTTGAACTTTACGGAACTTGGAAGTGATTTTAATCGTTGAATGCGGAACTTTTGGTTACTTGGGTTGTTACTTTTTATGACTTGATAATAGTGACAAGACTCGGGTAGTGACCACCGCGCCGTTATGCATTTCTATATTGTTTATTACAAATCAAAAACAATTGTTTATGTTCATAGATTTCACATAATCCTTTTTCCATTTGTCCTTCTCCTTTTCTTTTCCGTCTTCTCATTTCAGAAAACGAGTAATGGCGCTATAGCCATAAGTCATAAAAGGCTAGGGCAAGAGTTGGTGCTCATGTCCCAACCGTCAGAAGAAAATGGAGTATCCCTTAACCTTTCTAGCTTTGATGCTTCCAACGACCAACCAATCATATAATTACCCAAATCGGAACGGACGGTACGAGATGTCCACGTTTCATCCATTTATTGGATTCTGAAGCATCGTGTTTAAATTTTCGATTTAAACAGGCCCGATGTTTTGTGAATCATCTTGCTCCTTAAATGCTGCACAGTAGGCCTGGCCGTTTTGATATGTGTGACGCATCTCTATGTGAAACATATATCAAATAGACAAGAAAAATGATGCAGGTATATGTATCATTTTCCAGGATGCTTTCAAGAACTGGCTGTGTTGGTGTTAGATTAGATTAGATTCGATTAGATTAGAAAACGGTATCACCAGGGTTGATTGTTTTGCGTTACGGCAAGCATCTGCTGTCTGCCTTCCCTTTTCCTTGAGAACACGGTCTCTGTCAGACACATCCGAAGAATGCGGACAGTGTCGAACGACTTCCTTATCAACAGCTGGCCACCACACACCTTCTCTAAACCTCTTTATCATAACCGTTTCCCCAGGATGGTCTTTGTGGGCCAGTACGCAACTTCTGAGGTACAACAAGGTTAGTTCCCCTGACGAGAAAATCACCTATAAATCCCGAGTTCAGCAGCGCATCGACTATTTCTGGAAGCGGTGGATTATGGAATACCTGCCAACACCAACTAGACGCACCAAGTGGTTTGGTGAGACAAAACCGGTTAAATGTGGAGATTTGGTGATCGTGATTGACAAAACCAGAAGGAACGGATGGGTACGTGGACGTGTCCTGGAGGTGACAATAGGCAGAGTTAGGCAGGCGGTGGTTCAAACACCTGGTGGGTTGTTCCGTCGACCGGTCTTCACATTCGAGGAATGATCAATGGCTCTAACCACTCGTATTTTAGAACCTTTCCATTCATGTGGTCCCTCCGCTCTACGCTTCACCGAACGAGATGGGTTGGATGTGTTGCACCGTTGTGTACGCCATTGTTTCATTTTTGATTCTTAGCGGGGCAATTTGCATCATTATCGTAATGCCCTGTGCGTCCGCACCGATAGCATTCACCCGTAGGAAGCCACGAAAATTGAATTTTGTTTACAGTGCCTGGTCTTTGAACATCCCTGGAATCATGGCCAGCAGATGAGAACTGAACTCCCTAGCTCAGTCGGTAGAGGTGCAGCTACAAAGCAAGACTATGCTGGAAGTGGCTGGGTTCGATTCCCGGTCCGGTCTAAGAATTTTTCGGGTTAGGAAATTTCTCGACATCCCTGGGCATAGAGTATTGTACTTGCCACACAATTATACTACACGCAGGAAAAAGAACGTAAGAATTCCATAGGAAACACATGAAATTTAACCATAAGAAATGAGTGCGAATTACATTGATTTGTCTTATGAAAAATAATGTTGACAAACAAATAATAAATCGGAGCAGACTGGGACCGGAAAATGGACGTTGATGTTAGGGGGCCCGTGTGTTGACCACTCGTCTTTCAACGCTTGGGAGAATGAAATGGTTGAAGGTTGAGCCATATGAAATTCTTAGGTCTATTTGCCTCAGTGTAATGCAAAAATGGTACAGGCATCGAAAGCTCTCAATTAATCCCCCTTATTCTGCGCCGCGAGTGAGGTGAGGTTACTCGCTGTCACCTCATTAGTGACAGCAAGTCACTTCACCTCACTCGCGGCGCAGAATATTATCACTGTCACTTCACCTGGTGATCACTTCACTGGAGCGATTATGAGTGTCACTTGAGTCACTTGGTGACGGAGTGACGTTACTAGAGATTTGATTAAATACGTCAAAAACTCGAAAAGGCCTCCCCAAATAGCGAATCTCCGCTGTAGGTTTTGTGAACAAAGTATTACGGGAATATCTATAAATGACGTAGCATATTTTTGACCAATTACATAATCCCCCCTCCTCCCTCTCGTAGCGTATTTTGCTATACCTAATACATGACCGGTCACTACTTGATACCCTCCCTCCCCCAACAATAGCTACGTCATTTGTGTATGTTCCCTCAAACCATTTTTAATTTCGTCGATCTCAAACCTGGATTAACAATAGAAAAGGGCTCATCAGCGTCACTGGAGCGATTATGAGCCTTACTTTTTGTCACTCAGTGATGAGAGTCACGTCACCGGAGCCATTATGATCGTCACTTTTTGGTCTCGGTGACAAGAAAGTGAGGTGACGTGACGGTGATAATAGAGCCCTAGACCTCATAAGCTTATTGCGCGCTCCTCAACTTATAGCGAATTCGTTTATTATCGGGGTTGGAACCAGTTCCAACCCAGTGCGAAACCGAACTTTTTGTCAGTGCGAACCTCAACCTGAGCTAGGTTTTAAAAAACAAACGAGCAAACTGACGTTTGTCAGAAAACAAGCAGACCCAATCTTGATACTCGATCCAGGTTGGAACTGAATAATAAACGAATTCGCTATTAGTGTTCTAGATTCACTTCCACAGTTATTGAGGTGACTCGCTGTCACTAGTGAGGTGACTCTCCATTTGATTTACTCGGAGGGTCACCTCACTCGCGGTGACTTGTCACCTCACTAGTGACAGCGAGTCACCTCACCTCACACGCGGCGCAGAATAAGGGTAATAAGCTTGAAATGCGAAGCAGAAGATGAGAACTGACTGACTTGATATTTCAACGATCCATAAGACAAGACTGAATAATTCTGGTAAGACTTTCTACGGTGAGCCTTTCCTCGGAAAGTAACTTCTCTTTAAGTTCGGGTGGAGAGAATAAAATCATTTTATCGATGATACTCCCTTAGCTCAGTCGGCAAAGGCGCAGCTACAAAGCAAGACCATGCTGGAGGTGGCTGGGTTCAATTCCCGGTCCGGTCTAGGAATTTTTCGGGTTGGAAAATTTCTCGACTTCCCTGGGCATAGAAGTATGATTGGACTTGCCACACAATTATACCAATGCAAAAATGGTACAGGCATCGAAAGCTCTCAATTAATAACTGTGGAAGTGCATCTTAGAACACTAAGTTGAGAACACGCAATAAGCTAATTTGCGATATGCAATAAGCTTGAAAAGCGAAGAAGAAGAAGAAGACCAATTTCCCGACTTTCTTGTGTCGCTGCTCCAAAATTGCACCGTTTCGCGGTATCCATTACACGAAGAAGGATTTTTTTTCCAGAATCTTGCTTCAACTTTCAAAATACATTCCGTTCGAAAGCATCATGACACTTTGTACCAAAAGACTCATCTAGCTTATCTAACACAACCTCGAACGGATCTACGCCACTACATGGTTCAACGTTTGCTCCCGGAATCGATTCAAAAACCTCATAAACTTCAGGACAAGCTAGAGCCAAGAATATGTTTGAGCCTGACTTTGTTTGCTTCTCGATTTGCGAGCTGTACATATTCAAAATTCTCCCTGTAGCGTTTCCATGTGTCACGAATCTGGTTCTTAGGCAATACCTTGAAGTTGAAATCAGGGTGAAGTGACAACTTATCACTTACGGTGAAGTGATTCCCATTTGATTTACACGGCAATCATTTCACCGTGAGTGACAACTGGTCACTTCACTTAGTTTTCACAGTGAAGTGACACCCGTAATAAGGGCCCAGTTATAACAAGTTACAAGGGTGTTATCGACAAGAAAAATGTCATCAAGATAGGCTTTTAACATATAACAACTGCTCAGTCTGACCATCTGCTATCAATTTACCATTCTGTATCCGATTAAGAACCTTACTATTACCGATGATACCGAAAAGGAGATGTGATAGCTTCTTAAGAAATGCATAATTTTGTAGGTTTAAGATTAAAATTTATTGACAATAATTTATTAAATGGACTATATATACAGACTAAGCTTTCCGCCACAATCAAGCTCGCAGCTAGCGTCGGTGAACACTGTGACAGAAAACGGTATACTCTTTCCAAGTAACACCTAGTATCCAATATTGATTAATGTCTACATCTACCGTTAATAACACGTATAAATTGATCGCTAATTAAACTTGAATATTTACTTTGAACAGGCAGTATCAGTAGCTACCTATTGGATTCCATCGTGAGGAATTGTCTGTAGAATGCATAATGCTGGAAAATGATGCTGATTATCCGTGCAGAATATGACTAATGCAGTTGATTTTGGATCAGCTTCTATTAATGTCGATATTACACAGAACACGCTCACAAATATTCACCTTCAATTTGAGATCAATGCCAATTTGATAACATCTACTCGAGGTTTCCTCAGTTCTGAGGACTCGTTTGCAGCCAACCCGACTTGATGAGATATTTCTTCACTATGCCCTCGGCCACCGAATTGATCCCGTGGTCGAGCGATGGCCGGCCAAGCAGTACCGTTTTCAGGCTAAGGTACCGAGTGACCGGCAGGTTGAGGGAGTTGCACAGTTGTAGCTCGTTTGACGTGAGTAGCTGTACGCCGGGCTGTTGCTGCACCGGATCCGGAAGCGACTGCACCTGCAGCTGATGATGATGGCTGTGGAGATTCGACTGCTGGTGCCTCGATGGATCCGTTCCCCGTGAGCTATCCGAGTAGTTTCTGCTGTTGTATGAGCCGTCGGAGCAGACCCGGTCGTCGGTGTGGTGCGTGAGCTTTTGGCCGGTGGAACTTAAGCTTCGGCCGTCGCTTTCGCTGTTTAGGGATAAATGGACGAGTGTTAAGTTTGCAGTGTTTGAAATGATCTGTAGGATCTATAAATACCTTCTTCTTATCTGTGAGCTGGACAACGCCGAGGATCCCTTGCTTGTTTCGCATGAGCCGCCTTTGTTTCGGTTGTCCTGTCAAAATTTGTCTTATACAGCCGGGAATCGATTGACCGTTCGGACCAATTATACATGTAAGCTATTTTGTTTTGATTTGTTCCACCCGACAACAATCGATGTTTTTTTATTGGGAACATGCGATACAGTAGTTCGGTTTGAAGGAGAAATGGGAAAGAAACAATTAAAAAAATATTAGCACTCTCGTTCAATAATTGCAGTTAAAATAGCTCCCATGTATAATTGAGAAATGGGATTAATCTCGGAGAGTTGGAATTTAGGAGCTTATTGATGATTATGTTGAGTTGGAATCAAAGTTGTTAGGTTAACGTCTTCAATGCAAATTCCCATTGCAAACGTTAACGTCATCATAAACAACCATGGTTTGAACTGACTTGAAACAGCTTTCCGAGATTAACACTACATGACAAAATAAAAACAATCACACTTACCGTCCGACCGTGTCCATAGGGCCCAGTATTGCGGTGCTGTGCGGCCGCTGCATGCTGTTCAAAGTGAACACATTCATCCATCCGTTGAAGTCCGTTCCAGCGGTACCGATTCAACTCTGACAGTCGTATGCGCAGTGTACGTTCGCGTTCCAGTGAGGCTATCAAACGTTCAAATTCCAACGATGTGTAAAACTGCGAAAAAGTACGCAATCTTTCGCGGAATTCTCGCTGGTCGCGACTCATGCGCACTCGCTTGGCATTGCCACGGAAGAAGTTTGCTATCAGCTGATAGTCTCGAACGACCCGTTTCCGTCGGGCTCGTTCTCGCAGTCTTCTGGTGTAGATATCGACCTGTGCTAGTTTTAGCAGCATATCAACATCTTCATCATCCGGTTGCAGTGACAGTGTGGATACTAGCTGCTCAGCTGTCGGATCGTATTCACGCTCGAAATCGTCCCGGTTTGGCATATATCCGAGTGCAGCCGCTTCTTCGTTGGAACAGTCCATTGGCGGTAGCTTCTGGACGAGCAACTGCCCTAGAGGACCCGTATCATCTGATGTATGATCGGTTAGCTGAGGCCGTTGATCGATGGCCGTCGACCATGTATGACGTCCAACAGTTCCGTTAAGAAACTTCGAAACGTACTCATCCTTGGCCTCTTCCGAGGTACGGGTTTCTATGTGTTTGCTGATGTCTTCCCAATTGCCAAAGCCATACTGCTCGATGGCATCCAACAGGTGCAACTCTTCCCTAGCAGACCATCCTCCCTTGCCGCGATAGATCGACAATATGCCCGAGTCCATGAACTGATACGAGTGATCATTTCGATGCTGGCCGATCTCGGCTCCGGCCGCGAAGCACTGCAATGGAAATTGGCTGATAATCGAACTGGAGTAATAACATGCATTGTAAAATAAACAAAAACAAAAGTAGTGTTATTTTTCCAGCATCCCGTTCAGCTGATTTTTGTTCATTACCAACACCAACTGACTTCAGTCACGTCATTCACTTATGCACAAATATTGCAGTATTCATCCGTCAAATCATTGACGTCATCACCAGCCGCTTCTAGAAAGAGCGATGACGATGAACACAAAAATCAATCTTCCGCATCGGGTCAGCCATTTTTTCCCACTAATAACTCCCTCCTTTTAATAAATTACTTACCGCTAGGCACAACTCAAAATCGGCACAAACGACGCAGTGAACACGGATTCCGGGAATATCTTCCTGGCAGTTTGTGCAGGTGTACTTGGCGAACAGTTCTGCGGTACAGAAGAAATAAATTAGTCATAAAATCGCACGATTTGGGCCAATTTAAACGGGAGCTTATCGCTAGCGATGTGAATCACTTACCCGCCATGTTGGATGTGCACAGTTTTCTGGTGAATTGGTGAGTGGTAGTTCATTTCGATCATGATTTTATAGCACACTGAACCAATGAAAATGAATATTATCATCAGAATTAACAAAGGTTGCCAGTTTTATAAAAAAAATATTGTATGAACCTACACGGAGATGAAAAACTACCCAAAACTTAAAAAAAGTACTTTTCCCTCAATTCCCGGGTTCAGCCCAATAGAGATTAGTGACGTTTAACGCACGCACACTAGCGGGAGCAATACCGTGTAAAGTTGTTAATTGTTTTCCTCTGACTAACCTAAAAAATGTATGAAAGTAGATCTGTCAAAATGAGTTTGACATCGATTTGTTATGTATTTTCCTCGGATATTCACTAACACACTCTCACATATCGCACCAATTCAACCGGACATGAAAATCTCTATAATTCAAATTTGAGTAAAACAAATATAGTATACGGAGAAAAAATACCACCCAAAATTTGAGTTTTTTTTACTTAATTTTGAGTTCAGTCTCTCACTTGCACTCGTTATTGTTGTCAAAAAAGGAACGAGAGATTCGACCCAACTATATAAGTTCAGCCCAATAAGTTACTTTTGAGCTGAGTACTGCGGAGTCAATCGATTGTATGTTGCAAGCTAATGGAAAACTACTTGAAAGTTTTCTCGAGTATAAAATTGTTTTGCTCTTCGTCAGTTGATTCCCGCTAAAAGCTGTGAGCCAGGAATGCTCGAGCCCCCATGACTCTAATAAAGTTTGTTTACATATTGTACCGCCAAAGTATGTTTTATTGCAATTGAAAACCCTGCTGAGTCATCAAAACTGTGCTGTGCTGGTTTTTATGCTTTTATCCGACTTTTATCACTAAGCCTCGCACTAAGCCTACACAGCAAAAAAAGTTGTTGAATATTACATCGAAACTGCTGCAACCTAGTCAATCCATCGGTTGTGTAATATCACATTGTACGATGTACATCGATTTTGCGTACAAAATTACATCCATTGATGTAATATTGTATCTGCTTTTTGCTATTACATCCTAGGGGAAGGACAGCTCCAAGTATCAGTATCAATACCGATGGTGGAAATATTAAATATTTTAATATGTGTGATATTTGCGAATCTTATACTTAGTCTGACAGTTGTTTTTTGTTTGTTTTTGACTATTTTTGTTTTAAGTGTACATTTGACATTCGTTTAATCAAAAATGTATTTCACACAAGAGGCAAGTCATTCCTTTGTGATCTTGCTGGCCACCGCCACCAAAATCCGCTCCTTGTTCTCATAAATTCGGCATTTTTTGGTAGCTGTTCTCAGCGCACATAATCGGCCGCAATTCCAATCCCAGGAATTAATTTCCACGAATTCTTCATCGTCTGTTTTTTTTTTTTTTTTTTTTTTTTTTTTTTTAACTCTTTATTTGTTTCAAATTCAAAATAAATTACATTTCATTTTAACCTAGGTGCTCCAGTTACTGCAGTAACGTACCAGCCTTAATTGTTATGATATATATCTAAGTGTTTTTACATTGTTCATGTCTTGGCAATTCAGTATTTTAAACAGGTTTTTTAACCTGCATGTCAGTATAACAATTGATATCTTAAAACTAAAAACTAAAACTAAATCTTATCTAAGTATAAAGGGAATTAATCGTTGCAATTGGAAAGGAAATTAATCGTTGCAACGATTTTTGCCTGAAATTATTAATTATTTTGTTGGACATTTGTGCTAAAGTCTCAACATTCGAAATTCTATGTACTTCGGTTGTACTGTACCAGGGAGGCAACTTCAAAATCATTTTCAGAATTTTGTTCTGAATCCTTTGAAGTGCTTTTTTCCTGGTAGTGCAGCAACTAGACCATATTGGTACAGCGTAAAGCATGGCCGGTCTAAAAACTTGTTTAAATATTAGAAGTTTATTCGTCAGGCAAAGTTTGGATTTCCTGTTTATAAGAGGATACAAACATTTAATATATTTGTTACATTTAGCTTGAATGCCCTCAATGTGATCTTTAAAAGTTAATTTTTGGTCAAGTATTAATCCAAGATATTTCACTTGGTTTGACCAGGAAATTGGAACTCCGTTCATAGTGACTATGTGACTACTACTAGGTTTCAAAAACGAAGCTCTAGGCTTATGTGCAAATATTATAAGTTGAGTTTTGGACGCGTTGGGAGAAATCTTCCATTTTTGTAAATAAGAAGAGAAAATATCTAAACTTTTCTGCAGTCTGCTGCAAATAACACGAAGACTTCTTCCTTTAGCGGAAATGCCTGTGTCATCAGCGAACAAAGATTTGTGGCAACCCTGAGGCAAATCAGGGAGGTCCGAAGTGAAAATGTTATACAATATAGGCCCAAGAATGCTACCCTGAGGAACTCCTGCCCTAACAGGTAGTCGATTAGATTTGGAATTTTGATAATTTACTTAAAGAGTTCTGTCAGTTAAATAATTTTGAACTAATTTCATAATATAAAGTGGAAAATTAAACTTTTTCAATTTAGCAATCAAACCTTCATGCCAAACACTGTCGAATGCTTTTTCTATGTCTAGAAGAGCAACTCCAGTTGAGTGGCCTTCAGATTTGTTTGAACGAATTAAATTGTTAACTCTTAAGAGTTGATGAGTAGTTGAATGCCCATGGCGAAATCCAAACTGCTCATCTGCAAAAATTGAGTTCGTATTGATGTGAAGCATCATTCTATTCAAAATTATCTTTTCAAAAAGTTTACTTATTGAAGAAAGCAAACTTATTGGACGGTAGCTAGAAGCTTCAACTGGATTTTTATCCGGTTTCAAAATTGGAACAACTTTTGCATTTTTCCATTTATCAGGAAAGTATGCCAAATGGAAACATCTGTTAAATAATTTTACCAAGAAAGACAAGGTACTCTCTGGGAGTTTTTTGATGAGGATATAGAAAATTCCATCATCACCTGGAGCTTTCATATTTTGAAATTTTTTAGTTATAGACCTTACTTCGTCCAAATCAGTCCCCCAGGAATCATCAAAAATATTTTCCCGAGAGAAAATATTCAGAAAATCCCGAGCAACCTGATTCTCAATAGGACTAGTAAGACCCAAACTGAAATTATGGGAACTCTCGAATTGCTTAGTAAGTTTCTGAGCTTTTTCCGAATTTGTGATCAAAATTTTACCACCTTCTTTAAGCGCTGGAATAGGCTCTTGAGTTTTTTTTTCAAAATTTGGAAAAGGGTTTAGAACTCGGATCTAATTTAGAAACATTATTTTCAAAAGTTTTGTTCCTCAGGGCAGAGAATCGCTTTTTAATTTGTTTTTGCAAATCCCGCCAGATAACTTTCATGGCAGGATCGCGTGTTCTTTGATATTGTCTCCTACGGACATTTTTAAAACGGATCAAGAGCTGAAGATCATCGTCTATTATAATTGAATCGAATTTAACCTCGCATTTTGGTACTGAGGCAGCTCTTGCTTCAACTATAGAAGTAGTCAGAGATTCAAGAGCATAATTAATTTCATCTTTGGTTTGCAAAGGAATGTTTGGATCGAAGTTATATTCCATAAATGTTCGATACTGCTCCCAATCAGCTCTATGGTAATTGAAAGTAGAGCTGTTGGGATTACTTCATCGTCTGTGAACCAATGTTCTGTTCTCCTATGGAACGGGAATCGATTGACAACGCCGCCCCTGTTAACGGAAGCCCAGAGTGATGGTCCCGTGGTCGTATTACGCTCGATTCGCCATGAGAATGCAACTTGGAGAGATTTGTTGCTGGGGGAACGTCCAGTACCGTTTTTATCATAAAAAACCGAAGTCGAAATCGATCAGAGCTATCGAAAACGAAAATCTAGGCAAAAATTATGACAAACAGAAATATGCAGTAAACATAAACAACAACGGTGCAACGTCATTGAGTGTATGCGTTAAAGTTACACTGTTATTTTTTTTTTTACTTTGAAGCTTTCCGCTTGACAGTTAATATCATTAATATTTATACTAAAAATTATAATATCTACCAATTTGAGCAATTTTTACATCAAATATTACTTCAGATCAAGTTGTACTTCCTCTAGATTACATCATTATTTCATACATCAGCTTGAATTACATTGATTGATATTACTTTTTTTTGCTGTGTACTGGTTTCTGCCGAGAGTTTACCCATCCGGGATACAGTTCGTTTATGGTATTTGTGCATTAGGGATAATTTCAACTATAATGGGGTACGCTTATAGATGTACTTGGGACCAATAGGCTAGTCAAGTAGTGAGCCAATTTAAAATCGTTAGTTTCGTACATTAATTACATTTTCAATTACATAACATTCATTACGGATAGATAATTTTAATTACCGTCAGTACTACCAACCGGTACGCACTCGTGTGTATTGCAGTTACCATGGGGACGTAATTTGTGATTAGCCCCGGTCCCTTTCAAAATGTATCATTATTTATCTCGTTATTTATGTACGGCCGTAAATTTGAAATGACGTTTCACATTCATCTAGTGATGGCCGATTTTCATTCGAATAATCGATTAATCGATTAACGAACCGAAAAGTAAAATCGACAGTGAGCTTGCATAAGGGCGTATACGCGATAATCGATTATCTTCATCGATTTTCTCTTTGCACTGCTACAGCTAAGTGAAACAATTTTCTAGAATTTGTTCAATGCAGAGTTGAAACAGGTTGTATTGGCTATCAAAAGCAACAGCAAACGCACCGAGAAACGTTCATTCTAGCGAGTTATTAACAAAAGAGAAAATTGACGAAGAGAATCGATCATTGCGTTTACGCCCTTATGCATGCTCACTGTCGACATATTTGTAATCGGTTATATCAACAATCAATACGAAACTAACGATTTTAAATTGGCTCACCACTTTAGTAGCCTATTGGTCCCAAGCAAACGATTAACGTACCCTATTCTAGTTGAAATTCTATTACTACACTAT